GTATAGGTAATGCTACTTGAGATCAAAATGCGATGTCAACAGAGGCAGGTCTGATTATCCACTAATCGTGCTAGAACATGGCCGACGTTCGACACCTCCGCCACGTCTTCGATGTGCCAGGCTGCACATCCCAACAGAACTGCAATCATCGCAGCAGCTCTCTCGCCAAATATGAGAGTGAATACCACACCTCCAGTAACCCCTACAGTTAGGATTGCCAGATCTCGCACGTGGTCGGTCGGAGGGCTGTCGGGTATCGACACTATCGTCTCAAGCACTGCGTAGTTGGTGACGGCCTTCGCGACATGGGTGGCATGCCGACAGTATGGACAAGTAACGTACTTGCCGAACAGCCAGGAGTTCGAGGTGACAGACTCCATGCACTTAGCACAAACACTGTGTCCACACCGTGTGAGTACCTGAAGACACTTTCGTCGTTAAGGGAGGGTAGTTTAGGCCTACCATGGGGCGGTGCTGAGAATCGTCATAGTCGTTGCAGCATATACCGCATTCGAGAGGAGCAAGGACACCTCCCCCACAGCCGTCTCGTGGCTTCACTCGCATAACGACTTGCGGTAGGACTTGAGATAATCGAGCCGATGCCCAGTCCCAGTAATCTATCATATACTGCGACATCGAACACTCATTTACTAGTCAGCCTGAATAACTGCACAAAGGCGATGCAATGCAAGGTTCGACCGCCTTGAACGCAACAAGAAGGGTTCACTGATATCGAGTGCAAATTGGAGAGCTCATAAGAATTGTCGTATGACCGGAGACACCAAGCGGTGTGCAAACGAAGTTAGCGACGGCTGCTTTGAAAACTTGGGTACTCCACACTGGAGTCCTCACTGCAAAGAACGCATCCGTCATGAAAATACAGCCCAGACTAGGTTAACCACTGTTCATCCATTACTGATGACTTTCTCGCATGAACAGCAGTGCAGTTGAGAAAAGCACAACATACATCCACATTGACGGGGGCTGTTCAGACCCTCGCCGTTAAATCACTCCAACGCATCACATGGTATTAGCCTCAGACACTAATAGAGAATACGCTAGGGTGTATTTTACCACGCAGCTACTGCTATAGTAGTGGTATTTTGTCAAACTAGAGAAAACGGGGGTTCTCGGAAGTCGACTCATAGTCGTCAGCAAGCTTGAGGTTCTCTTGCTTCAGCGAAAGCATCTTGTACTTCTTGGCTCCGACCTCCACTCGCACAGCCACACGCCCATCGTCGGTGACCTGGAGAACTCACTCACTACTTTCAAGACTACTTGGAGACTTGTTGACCGCCTCGTGTGTGAAAGATGTGCAGGAGGTGTCTGTTGAGAATTTCACCCATGACATGGGCCGTATAGAAAGTGTTAGGTCAACATGAGATCTAGGTAAGCATTGATGCCGTTCTGTGTTCACTATAAGCGGAATTATGGCTTTTCGCGCGAAATTTCTCGGGTTTCCCGAGGCAACCATCAGCGGAAAAATCAGGATAGACATAATGAGGCACAGTTAATGTGTCTTCCCGTGCCCACTCTACTAGATTGCGAAGCATGCTACTACTCTACATTTTGCATACCGTACCTTGATGACTTCGGCGGGCTTGCCATTGTAGTGTTGGGCCTTCGCCAGACCCGTAACCACCACTCGGTCACCATCCATGAATGAACACGAGTCGACATACAGCTCTTCCCGAACACTTATCCTGACACAGCACGCATGTGCACGGTATGAACACAGTTTATGATCTCACCTGTCCACCAGAGGTATCGGAGGAGCGCTGCCTTGTCGGTATCCCTGAGGCAGTAGCATCTGGCTGAAGTTGAGCAGACTGGTTACACCAGTAACCTAACAGAGCGAGGTTTCTCCTCGACAGCCGCTCGATGCAGTGGCGCCTACCTCATAGGGGAGCAACGGCAACTGTATGACGGACAAACCGGCATCCGCTACGTCAGGGAAGTTTCGCAACTCGTTCAGGTACTTCTGCTGGATTGAATTCCTGAAAGGACCATCAGCGTTAGAGAATATTCACATAGTAAACTACGCGGGTTCATAGAAATGAGAAAACCTGGGAAAATTCTTGTAGATTTTTATACACTTTTGAGCAGATTACTACACTGCAGTACGGAAACTGCTCGAGCTCAGATGAGGAAGCACTAGGAGCAGTACTACTAGTCGACTGACGCGAGGAACTCACCTGGCTCTGCAAAACTGAACGGACTGCTGTATAGTCCTCCACGAAGCCAGACCGAGTGCCTGAGGGATCGCCTACGTCGCATTGTGAGTTACGAGTATAGTACCTCCTCGCCCTTCTGGGCAGTAGAGGCATCATCGATCGACAACGAAGTGAAATCGCCAAGCCCAAGCTGGTTCACAACAACGTGCGAGACCGCGAC